TAACCGAGTTTAAGACCAGTCTTAACTCGCTTACCACCTAAATCTGCTCCGTACCCGGTACCTGCTGAAGCGCGTGTCTAGGCCTTGTGTTATTGCCTATCCCACTATGGAACGCTTAGCGGACTATGCGACCTCGTCAGCAATAAAGCAAGCTCTCATGAAGGCTATTAAACCGCGCGATGAGGGATTAAAATTGTTGGCTTTAAAAAAACCTTTAAGACAGGCGTCGTGTTACGTGTAGCTAACGAACGGCAGCTTAAGAAACTGGAATCTGTGGACGCCATTAAATCAGTAGGGTTACGATTAGAAAAACCGAAAGGCTGTAAGCCCCGTATAATTGTAAAAGACGTACCCGGTTCTATGGAAGATCGTGCCTTCCTAACAGCCTTATACTGTCAGAATATCAAGGACGAATTAAAATTAAGTGAGAACGATTTTATTAAGTCAACCAAAATTTTAAATTTTAGAAAATGGGCGTCAATGGATAGGCTTAGAATTAGAGGCAGCAGTTAGGAAACATCTAGCCAACACAAAAGATAAACTTTATATAGACTGGGCCACATGTAGATTCATAGACGATATAGAAGTAATTCGTTGCTTAAATTGTCAGCAATTCGGTCTTGTACAAAAGTTTTGCACCATTAAAACCCCTACTTGTGCTAATTGCGCCGCCGCACACGAAACGCGAGCTTGTCCAGATAAAGACACACCAGATTTTAAGCCCACGTGCGCACAGTGCAAGCGGTTCAAAAAACCATCTGACTATCGATGCGGCTCACACGACTGTGCCACATACAAATTAAAACTGGAACAGCTAATATTAAATACCAATTACTGAATAGTTTAATTTAGCTTAAAAAGAAAAAAAAAGTTTATAGAGTAACTTACTAAGTCATCATCATCAACAGCCTTTAATAGTCCACTGCTAGACATAAGCCTCTCCTTAGAAAGGAGGTTTTGGCCTACTATACCACGCTGGCCAGACGGGTTGGTATAGGGTTTTTGTCAAGTTTTCCTTCTCTCTGCAGTGCTGTTGCTCTGCGTAGTTTTCTCCCTTAGTCGTCTCTTACGACACCCACGGGATGAATAGGGGTGGTGACACTGTATTCTTAATCCGTCACCACACGGACCAACTTACTAAGTAATGGATAATATTTTAATAGGCCAGTTAAATCTTCATAACGATAAAATAGCTACATCAGAATTAGACCGTTTAATTTTAGAACAAAAGTTAGACATTGTCCTTATACAATAATTTGAATTTGAATTTGAATTTGAATTTGAATTTGAATTTGAATTTGAATTTGAATATACAAGAACAATATCAGAGCGCTCGTGTAATATATTTAGGTTTACCCACCTAAGTTAGAATGTCAAGTGGCCCAATATAAGCGGACACATTCTTGTAACCGATTCATTCGTATTATACGCTCGCTATAAATCAACATTATTTTATTTTCACCAAGACTCTTCAGTGGCGACGAGGATTAATTTTTTTTTTTTACTTCGAGTTTTAATAATTTGAAAATATCGGTCGGTAAAATACGCGACTTTGATATGAAGTCAGGCAATTGGACCTTGTACGTGGAGCGGTTGCAGATGTATTTCAAGGTAAATAAGGTCGAAACGGACATGTGGTTGGCTATGCTGATCACCGGCGTGGGGGATGAAACGTACGAGTTACTCAGCACGCTGTGTAGTCCAAGGAAACCGGCGGATATCACGTACGAAGAGGCCCTTAAAATTTTGAAAAATCATCTACAACCGAAACCCGCTGTCATGGCGGAACGGTATCGGTTCAGGCAAAGAAGACAGAAAGATGAGGAAAGTATAGCCCAATATTTAACCGAGATAAAGAAGCTCTCGAAAACGTGTGAGTTTGGTGGAACTTTAGAGGAAAATCTGCGGGAACAGTTCGTATGTGGACTGAAGAGTGATGTCATCAGGCAAAGATTGTTTGCAGAAGACAGTTTGCCATACTCCGGAGCAGTCAAATTGGCTTGTGGGTTGGAAGCGGCAGAGCGTGATGCGGCAGTCGTCGTAGAACAAAAAGCGATCGCGGAGGCATCTGTAACATTAAACTCGTGGCGGGCAAAACGTGGGCGCGGTCAGAGCGCGGACCGTGAGTGAGCGGGCCAGGGGTGAGCGGCACGGGATGCCGATACAGGCGCCGGGCACTGCACGACATGCGGGTGGCGCGAACATAGCAAGGAGGAATGCCGCTATAAGCATTTTGTTTGTAGTAAATGCAAACAAAGCGGTCATTTGAGACGCGTTTGTCCACGGGCGGAGGCGAACAGAGGCAGAGGGAGTAAGCGCGGGATAAACAACGTGAAAGCTATCAAGATGGAGCAGCCGAGGGCAAGAAGCGGAGATTCCAGCTCGGACGAGCTAGAAGAAGGGCTACACCAACTATGTTTGAGCAGCTATACCCCGGCGAGGTTATCATTACTTATTGATGATATTAATTTAAAAATGGAATTAGATACAGGCTCGGCAATTTCATGTATTAGTAAAAAAATATATGATAAGTATTTTAACAGTAGGGTAATTGAACCATTTAACTTGATGTAAAATTTTATGATGGTACTAATATTAGACCGATAGGAGTTATAAGACCGAAGCACGGTACAATTATAATACAGTACTCCAACTTCATACAAACGGACGAAACGCGAGCTATACCTACGCGCCTCGATCTCGGGGTGCGCTCGGGGCGTAGACAGTCACGGCTGTACCGCAGTGTCGAACGGACGGTGTGTTGTTTTTTTTAACAATAACCGCGCGATTTTTTTTTCTCTAAAAATCAGTTAATATGACGAGTAGGAAATATTGTGCTGTTTTTGGTTGTATGAATTCGTCAATAACGCATCCAGACATAAGGTTTTTTTAAATTACCTGGAAACTCTGAAAGGTAAGACTATAAAATAATTTTACTTACTAGTAGGTAGGTACATAATGTGTGTCTTTTTTATGGATAAGTATTTCCTTTTATCTTACGAAAAAAAGGTGTTTGGATTAATTAATAAAGCGAATAGAGTAGACTTGCAACGAATAGTATATTCGGCAGTATACCGAATACCGAATATTCGGCGAGGCCCCTGACCGAATAGCCGAATATTAGGCAAAAGTATTCGGCTGGATTTTAGCGCCAAAAACTTGTACAGACGTGAATTAAATTATGTACCTGTTTTATGTACCAATGACTACTTAATAAATGATTATAAAAGAAATGAGAACCTTACCCTTCTAAATTTTGATTACCACAATAATTCAAATACATAGAATCCTCCATTTTTCCAATTCAGAACATGATTATGTACCTGTGTTATGCACCAATGACTACCTTAATGATTATAACAGAAATGAAAATATGAATATATTCGTAATCAATCGATTTTAATTTTTCATTTTACCAATTATTTCTCAATGACACATCACATCACATCACATCAACAGCCTTTAATAGTCCACTGCTGGACATAGGCCTCTCCTTAGAAAGGAGGTTTTTGCCTACTAAACCACGCTGGCCAGACGGGTTGGTATAGGGTTTGTGTCAAGTTTTCCTTCTCTTTGCCGTGCTGGTTGTCCTACGTTCTCAATGACAAAATATATTATTTAAGTATTCGGTATTCGGCCGAATAATATGTAGATATTCGGTATTCGGCCGAATATAATAAAAGCAGCCGAATAGGCCGAATACCGAATAGTAACCGAATATTCGTTGCAAGTCTAGAATAGAGTAACGGAAAGTTATTGAGACGAGTGAAATAGGTAGTTATATGAGGTTCTGAATGAATCATGATACGGTAGGTACCTACCTACTTACGCTTATGTTAAAACTTCGGTGAATGTGTGTTTTGTTACTTTGCATAATTCAAATTAAAGACGTGGTATTTTATTTTTAATAATATTTGTTTATTATCTGTGTGTATGATTAATACTAGAAAAAAAAAAATTACCGTCTGTGTGTCATTAGATAGTTTTCGAAATTTTCACAAAGTGTTTCTGCTGTTACTATAACAACATATACCACTAAAAACTCCTTCAATGCAGAAAGAAAATAAAATAATTAAATTTACCAATCGAAAAACAACACGCATTTTTATTGAACACTTCCTATTCAATATACAAAGTATTTCATTTATTTATATAAAAAGGATATTTACAATCACAAATCTAAATAGAAACAGAAAGTAGGCAAATATAATTAAAATGCTGGAGACGGGCAGCCCTAACGCATGTTTACGTACCGCGCAGCTGTAGGCATTTATTTCTATCATGCGGCCGAGTTACACTACTGTATTATAATAGTACCGTGACCGAAGGTCCAGTACAAGAATAAGGCAAAATATTTAGAGCTGTTTGTGATAGACGGAGGTATAACTGCTTTGCTTGGCAGGCAATGGTTAACAGAATTAGAAATTAAAGTACCCCCATTTCAACAAGAAATCAGCAACCATAGCCATGTTATACACAAGGTGCCTGATACTGTAAATAGTTTATTAAACAGGTATAAAGAACTATTCAGCGGCGGATTGGGGCGGTACACGGGCGGCAAGGCAACACTCCGTTTGCGAGAGGGTGCTCGGCCGGTGTTTTGTCGGGCACGGCCACTGCCTTACGCTCTGAGGGGTCCGGTCGACGTGGAGCTGGACGCCATGTTGCGCGCGGGCGTCATTGAGCCCATGGAGTGCTCGGAGTGGGCGAAGCCGTTGGTACCGGTACGTAAAGCTGACGGCGGACTTCGTATCTGTGCTGATTACAAAGTAACTTTAAATCCTGTCTTACTGGTCGATAGATACCCGCTACCGAAGATCAATGATCTATTAGTGAGCTTAAACTCATTTCTCAAAAATTGACTTATCCCTTGCTTATAATCAGATTGAGCTGGATGATTTCAAAGAATTGACTGTAATAAATACACATCGAGGTTTGTTTAAATACAATAGACTCGTGTTTGGATTTGTCGTCTAGCCCGGGAATTTTCTAGCGTATTATGTCAATACTATTTAATGATATTCCGGGGGTAGAAGTATTTCTCGACGACATTATCCTGGGAAAGTCGGGATCGCTAAATAAACATTTAGAAACATTAGAAAGTTGTGAAAGTTGTGTAGTGAAGTTAAAAAAAAAAAAAGTTTATTCATGGTTAATGAAGTCAAATACTTAGGGTATGTTATATCAAAAGAGGGTATTAAGGTAGATTCAGATAAAGTAAAGGCAATAATAAAAATTCCCAGGCCACAAGACATTACAAAGTTACGTTCTTTTTTGGGTTTAGTTAATTTTTATGCTAAATTTGTTAAGAATTTGAATAGTATATTGTCCCCACTTTGTGAACTTTTAAAGAAAAATGCAAGTTGGAAATGGAGTGTCCAGTGCGAGAGAGCGTTTGCAAAAGTTAAAAAAATATTGATAGGTGCGGAAGTGTTGGCTCATTATGATAAGCCGTTAGTGTTGACATGCGACGCGAGCGCACGGGGTATAGGCGGCGTGCTCACACAGCCAGGCGCCGACGGCCGCGACAGGCCAGTTGTGTATGTGTCGCGCGCGTTAAATAACGCCGAGAAACATTATTCACAGATAGATCGGGAAGCGTTAGCTATCGTATTCTGTTTACAAAAATTACATCAGTATGTCTATGGACGACGCTTTGTCTTACGAACCGACGACAAACCGTTAGTAACATATTTGGACTAAAACACGGGATACCGGCTATGGGAGCGAGTAGATTACAGCGCTGGGCAATAATTTTATCTGCATATACATACGTATGACATAGAATACGTAAACACTAAACAAAACGGTGCTGACGGACTATCGAGATTACCGGTGCCGTGCAGTAGTGATGAGTCACGGCATGTCCCTGATCAAACGTATTTACATTTTGCACAGAACGCATTGTTATTACATTATAATATAATTAAACAACAAACTATAGTAGACCCAATGTTAGGTAGGGTTTTAAGTTATATTCGTGATATGTGGCCCGAAGATAATGATATTCGAGAGTTACAGCCGTATTTTAACCGACGTAGGGAACTGTACGAAGAGCTAAGCTGCGTTATGTGGGGGCACAGGGTAGTTATTCCGGCAAGCTGTCGAGCTAGGGTATTACAGGAATTACATGAACCCCATATGGGCACAGTTAAGACGAAGGCGTCAGCTAGGAGTTATGTTTGGTGGCCGGGCATATTTCTGCGAGTGGGGAGCATATTTTGCTCCACGACGGTTGCTCCACGTGTCCCTCTGATTACAGAGGGCTCTGTGGATGAACGTCGGAGATGCGGTCGCTCCTGTCCGATCGACAGTCGTCGATTGGCAAAGGACGTGGCCAACGCCGCTGCGGTGCAGGCGCACCGATGCGATCACTCCTGGCGAGAGAGCTTCCGGCGGGTTCGCTAAATCGGGTTGGCCGGACAGCGGACGGAGGCACGTACAGTGCCGCCGTCGGGGGGTTGGCTTAACAGCCCGGCCCAGAGGAAGGACACCTCTAAGATAAAAAAACCCCAATCCTAAGTTTTGAAGCGCGGCGATGGGATGAATGGCTGGTAGGGTTGGTGGCTGGCTGGTGGTAGTCGTTAGCGCTTCCACTGTAGGGTACCTGCCGACCCCCTACAGTATTTAGGCTTAATTTAGTGCCCCTGGTATGGGGCACTGCCGGGGTGGACTTTTATTTCCTCCACTACTCGTGGGAATCACATGGAAAAGAATCATAAAATTAAAAAAAATAACGATGATGGGCCGGTTTCGGCGGAGATGAGGAAGGAGACGGGAGAGTCGTCTGCCACAAGTGGCAGCGAGAGCCGAGGAGGCTTACGCGCCCCCTCCAAAGTTTGGAGAAAGCGCTCGCATGGGGAGAGTGTAAATCCCTCCTCAAGCGAAGAAGAGCTATCGGCCGCAAAAGTGCCAACAGCAGGAAGAGGTGGTCGCGCAGTAGCGAGTGGAGCCTCCACTCGTCTGCAGCAGCACGACCAAAGGGGTCGCTTTTTGCGGCCTTCTACGCCGATTCCGGTGGTCCGCCTGGATCAGCTCGAGGTGGAAAGCGACGAGCCTTCGATCGCTGAGGTAAGCGCAGATTCCGCTGCGTCCCTGTGTTGGGGTATTAAAGTTCAGTTTTGCTTGACTATAGGATTACTTCAACTAAAATACGTATTGTCACTGCAAATGTTTATTGTAGACTGATGGATCAACGTTTAAACCTTTCTCACATAGGTTAATACATACATATAATCAAACATGCCGTCCACCAAAAACAACAGTTTTTCTTAAAGTTTGAACTTAAACATACTAATTAATTAACAGTTAATACATTATACATACAGTTAGTTACAGTTAATATACAGTTTTTTAAAAGTTTGACATTAATCTTTATGTAACAAATTTCATTAAGTATACAAATGCATTATTAATTGATTGATAAACCGGGGCGGTCGTTAACACTTCTTCTACAGCCAAGAACAGTGGTAACAGTTCTTCATGTAAATAATAATTTATACAGTGCAAATCTTTGTTATCTATAAGTTTCTCCATGTATAAGGGCGTAGCTATTTGTGTCATATAGTTATTTATAATTATATTTGAATTGGCGGTGTTCCTTATCACCTGCTTTTACTCATTGTAATATATAGAATCGTAACTATAATTTTCAACAAACAATAACAAATATTAACCCACAATAGAGTAAATTATGTTAAAATGACATTTCGAAATCCACTACTTTGAGATTTGACACAAGGCTAGCTACGTTCGGATTCACATCGTATCGATACTATTCTTTTGTTTCGTCTTACTTTAGCTCTATTTGACTTGTTGTGCAGGGTTAAACGATGCGTTTACTTTAATCGATTATTTTTGCCTGTCTGTACATATTTGAGTGGGTCAAGACTGGCGGGTAGTGTAGATATGACAATGTTCTGAGGTACGCGCTAACATAGTTCTTGTATTGTCTAAATACATTAATAATTTATATCTTATACATATTATATTATTCTGTATTTATTTATAAAAAGTTTGACATCGTATTGTTGTCATCCGATATTATTGGTTATATAACTTTACATATTTTTTTATTTTATTTATACTTATTTTAATTTCATGCTGTCTGATGATGAATCGTTTCATTCCGCAAACGAATCTGCTACTATTTCGGGTGTCGAGAGTTTTAGCTCCTTATCAGATACACTTGGCGACTTTGTGAGACAGACGTTTGGTCGCCCTTCTAAATGTCGCTTAAACGTTTGTCATATTAATGCTCAAAGCATTCCCAGCCACTACAGTGACTTACTTGAAGCTTTCACCAACTCCGAAGCACATGCTATACTGATTTCTAAGTCCTGGTTCAAACCCAACCTGCTTTCTACGTCGTACTCCCTCCCTGGTTTCATTCTCATTCGCAACGACTGAGTCGACAGAAGAGGAGGTGGTGTGCTATTTATCTCCGCTGCTCAATCTCATTCAAAATCTTAACGTCTTCTCCTCCCTCCAGTTCTGCATCCGCAGAATACCTTTTCCTTGAGGTTAGCATCAGTGGAGCCAAAACTCTTCTGGGCGTTGTTTACTGTCCCCCCAACGTTGACTACTTCTCCAGTCTCGAACCGATTCTGGAATCTTTAGGGTCCGAGTATGCACACCATATCATCATGGGCGATTTCAATACCGATCTCCTCGCTTCCAATTCCCCTCGATCCCGTAAACTCCTCCAGGTCATCGAATCATCTTGTCTGCATGTGCTGCCATTGTCAGCCACACATCACAATATTAATGGACCTGACACCTGGCTAGACCTAATCCTAACTTCGACTCCGTCCTTTGTCCGTAGTCATGGCCAACACCCCGCTCCCGGTTTTTCCCAACATGACCTCATCTACCTCTCCTATGCCCTGAAACCTTCTAAGCACCGCCCTCAGTTTCGCCATATTCGCTGTTTCGGACGGATGAGTGAAGACAAACTACGCAGCGATGCCATAAAACTAGATTGGAAGCCCCTGATCGAGGCGTCTACAGTGGACGACAAGGTTCGCATGTTTAATAATTTAGTAATTGACCTCTATGACCAAAACGCTCCAGTCGCAAAAATTAAAATTAAACGCTCTCCTGCTCCCTGGATGTCAGTGGATGTCCGTGAGGCAATGAGACGCAGAGACAAAGCGTTCCTAAAATTCCGGAAAAACAGGAGCGAAGCAAACTGGTCTCTTTATAAAGTTGCAAGAAATCGGTGTAATCAGGTGGTGCGCAATGCTAAACGCTGCCATATTATTCAAAACCTTAATTATTCCTCGCCTTCCCAAATCTGGCGATTCCTCGGAACCTTGGGCATCGGTAAATCCGGGAAAAGTATCTCTTCAACGACCTTTGATTTGGATGACATTAACCGACATTTCACCACTCTTCCGCAATTTGATCACCAAACAAAGCGTCTCACCTTAAAGTACCTGGCTGACCTTCCTCGCCCAAATATTAATTCCTTTCAATTTTCTCCAGTTGCATCAGATGACATAAAAAAGATAATCCTCTCCATTAAGTCCAACGCCATGGGAAGTGACAACATAAACCGTCGTATGATCACACCTATCCTCGAACATCTCCTTCCCGCGCTTACGCATATAGTGAATTATTCACTCGATTCAGGGACTTTCCCTACACTGTGGTGCAGTGCTTTTGTAATACCCCTCCCTAAGGTCTCTAACCCTACCCTGATAAATCACTTACGCCCAATTTCCATACTTCCCTTCTTATCCAAAGTGCTCTGAGACGTGTGTACATCAACAGTTATCACAATTCATCTATCGGAATAATTTACTAAGCCCTTTTCAATCAGGCTTTAGGCCTGGCCATAGCACAACTTCTGCACTCCTGA